AATAAAACAATGAAAATTTTCATTCATAAAATTTGCAAATAAAAAAAAATTACAGATTTATAAAGTTAAGAAGAGCAATGATTTTTAGATCTAAGAAGAATGCTTTAGTGCCAAATTACCAAAGAGAGTTACTTTATCATATACTTCCATGAAAAAAATTATATAAATATTTTTGTAAGATCATAAAAAATCTACATTGACCCACAAAAAAAGAGAGATTATAAAATGCAAAGTAAGAAAAAAAGGAATATCTTGTAGATAAGGTAAAACCTATGCTAAGGAAATTCTTTTTAAATGGTGTGTATCATAGTCAACATTTTGTCAAGCAAACACCTCCAGGGTTGTAAAGCAAAATGTATCAGTAAAGGTGTAAAAAACATGCACATTTCAACATAAAATTCTGAAATTTTTTGTGTTTTTTTCTTTAGTACATCTAAGATATTAGATTTCAAGCATGAATCCATGTTTCCACAATAATTATCATCCATAATACTAAATTATTTGTCTTCAAACTATTTATGCTTGAATTATTTTATTTTAAGTTTTTCAAATGCCTAATTTAATAGTATTTAATGAAATAAACATTATTTGACTAATAAGACTTTGAAATACTAAATAAAAATAAAATAATATGTATTCTAAATTTGAAAAATTGGAATAAATTTAGAATTTGCTTAAATTTATACGAAAAAAAACTTACATTTTCATATGTTATTAGAGGCACACTAATATTAACTTCAAAAGAACTTACAAAAACTGTATTTTTCGAATTTATACATGATTTATGACAAAGAATGATAATGACAGTTTGTGACAAATTTATAAAATCAGGCCTTGTTAGCTTTAAAATAAACATAATCTTTTATGAACATTTGTATAACATAATCTTTTATGAACATTTATATATGTATATATCTTGCCTTTCTAAGAAAATAAAAAACTGTACCCATAGAGAAAATTTAAAAAATTTAGGAATGAAAAATCTAACATTACAATATGTATACTATAACCATTTTGATACAAGGTGAATAAAAAGAAAATATTCAATAAATCAGTACTGAATAACTTTATTTATTATTTGCTCCCCTCTCTGGTGGTTTAAAGTTATAAAATTAAAAGTAAAACACATTTTTTTGTAGATCATCCTATCAGAATAAAGATTAACTGCATTCTGCATAACTTGGCATCAACTGCTTGCAGCCGACTCACGATAGTCGATATTTGCCACTGTCAAGTAATTTTTCTCTCGTACATATTTTGTTCTTTCTAGGAGCTATAAGACACTCATTTTCACAGTATCAGTATTAAAACTGCTCAGTATAGGTACAGTATTAATAAATAACAAATATATATTAATATAATACTTTGAACCTACACTAGTATATTTAGTACCTATTACATAACATTTCAATTTTTGAGTTTTGAACAAAATACATTGGAAGCAAACTAAAGCCCAAATTTTAAATTGAAATAGAATTTTTATAGGATCAAGAAATATAATTTTGAGCAAGATAAATTCTTTATCCGACTTCAAAAATATTTAAATGTAGTGGTGGAAAAAGGTGAAAATTATTCTAATTTTAAGAGTTCACATGCCATTAGAATGCTACAGGGTGGTCACTCAAATCAGATTTCAAATTTCCCTGATTTTTCCAGATAAAAATCCTAAAATTTCCAGGTTTTTGTTTCTTTTTTCTTATAAAGTGTAGGATGTGTGTACAAGAAAAGTGTCTATATTATAAAATATTTTATTCAAAATGTTATTTTTTTAACATATCATCTTGAAAAAAATTATTTATTTTGACAATATGGCAAGATTTTTTATTTGTTTTTTAATGCTTTGGTACAAAATTTTGAATCAAAAATCATATATTGACCAACAAAAGAGTAAAATTAAATATTAATATATAGTTAGTTCTTAAAAAAACCTATTTTTCTCAAATTAAAGTATGTTATAAAAGATTAAAATGAAATAGAAAAAATTAGCATTAATGCAACAATTTGTCGACATTGCTGTTAGCGATTGTAAAAAAAAAAAATGTGTGATTGGTTGGTTTGCTGAGAAAAAATAATTCACAGATTTCTTTGAATGGGAATACAAAAACTTTCAGAAAAAGAGTGGGATATAAAATCTATTATTATTAAATTATAACCAACCAATTTTTGGAGAATTTTATAAAGTTAAAAATACAAAAACATTTTGTCAAAATGGAAAAAAATTACCACGAAAGCATCGGAATAAACTTGAGCCGTAAATGGATTCAGCCCAAGGACAGAATTTAATAACAGAAGCTATTATCCTAATCCCTTCTTCCACCTCCATCACAATCTCTCCTAAATTGCACAGTCCTATAGCGGTCAAAGGTTTCTACATTCGTTTAGCAACAGTGGGAAAATTTAATTTTATGTGGCATTCTAGTTTAGCAGAGCTGTAATGGAGCAAATTTTGATGCAAGCAAAGTATCGTTAAGTAGATGATGTTTCAACTGTTTGGAGATACATTTCTGTCTAAAAAGATTGGGTATAATGAATTAAATAATTTAAATTAAGAAAATTAGTAAATAATTTAAATTAGTGAAATTAAAAATATTATGAAAGAAAAAATTTCCAGCTTTCCTTTAAAATTGCCTGATTTTTCCAGGTTTTTATCCAAATTTCCCTGATTTTTCCAGTATAAAAAAATTGCCTGATAATTCCAGGTTTTCAAGGTTTTCCAGGTGGATGGCCACCCTGATAAATAGACACTTTTAGATGGGAATTAAAATAAGAGATTGTTATTGTAGATGTTGTGATGTAAAATATTTATATAGAATGATATATTTTTTTAAAAATTAAAAATAGCATGTGATTACCCCTTTTTCTATTAAGAAAAATTTTAAATTGTTTCAAAATAATTTAAACAGTTGAATTACACAGGGATGAGATTAGCCAAAAGGCAAAAAAGCTGAATCTCCACGATAGTAAATTTTACGCAAGCGCAGCCCTTTAATAATAAATTCCAGACAGTTTAAGGTAATAAATAATGTGTTGACATACAATTGTGTACTAATCTATTATTATAAAAACGACTACATTGATACTTAACATTTAGTGAAAATAAAAATTACCAATTGAAAAAATAAAGCTGGAAATTATATTTTTCCTCAGTTCACATAAGAGACAATTATTACTTGAAAAACTACCTGGTTTAGCAAATTAAAACTACTGAGAATATACATTAATATTTCATTTCTTTTAATAAATACTGTTATGTGATTTATAGCAAATATATCAGTAATATTACTTTTTAAATTATATTGGAAAAAAAAAATTTAACAATGGACCGAATCATTATGTTCATATTATAGTCTAATCTAACTAGAGCCCTCTGAAACATATCAATAACAGTGAAGTAGAAATATATAGTAACTCCTTAACATACAAAAATTGCTATTTTAGTTTGAAAAATTACATGACAATCAGCAACTGTTTAGATAATTGTTTTTTATTTGATAAGAATTTTGCATTTTATAGCATAAATAACAGCAATTATAAATAAAATTTTGATGATGAGTTAATTAACTCTTTTTCCAAAAAAAAAAAATTAATTAAATCCCTTTTTAAGTGATTGCTTTTGTTTGCTATATCTTTTATGTTTGCTATATTTAGTCGTTAGTCCATCTTCAAACATCTTGTGACAAATCCTATTTTTTCTTCTTTGCAAGCACAGAATGTAAGTTTTGAATATATTCCCTTCCAGTTTCTCTGATGTTGTAACACTTACATATACTAATAATCGTCGTTAGAAAAACAGTCACCTTTATAGTAACTAATTTTAAAAAAATTTACTTCTTACAAGAATCGCGATAGTTGATCTTAAAATTGCGTGAATATGAATAACAATTATGGATTTTGAAATCACATGAATATGAAACTAGATATACGATTTTGAAAATGAGAAAATACAAACTGGGATATAGAATTTTTAAAACGCGTAAATACAAATCACGATTCATAATTTTTAGATCGCGTAAATACGAATCATGATGCGTAATTTTTAGATTGCATAAATAAGAATTATGATGCATAATTTTTAGAATGCGTGAATGCGAATCCCAATGCCTTATTTTAAAATCACGTATAAATGAAAATCAATGTTTGATATTATAAACAGCATGAGCAAATCAAGACATTGAATTTTAAACTTGCGTGAATACGAATCGCTTCATAGGTTTTTAAAAAGGCGTAAATACGAATCAGAACGTACAATATTCAAATCGCGTGAATAAGAATCTCAACACGCAAATATGAAAAGCTATGTTTCATATTAAAATCGTGTGAATAAGAATCGAGATAGTGGCAGATTCCAGGCTTGGGACCTCTAAAAGGCTTGTCAGAAACAGCCTCGTTTGAACTACAAAAATCGGATCTATCTGGAGGGCGGGTAAAAAATTCGGAAAATCTTATCTGCTGCGAGTAAAAGGGGAGAAAATAGCTAAAATAAGTAAAAATGAGAAAGGATTGGTAGCTATGTAGTTTGAATTTTCTGTTTCTCTTTGAAAATGGGTGAATTTTCTGAAAAAGCGGAATACTTATAAAAAAAAGTGAAATTTTTAGAAAAATCTGAATTTTTGATAAAAAAAAAAGCTGAAATTCAAGAGATAAAAGTGAAAAAAGCGGAAATCAGCTAAAAAGCGGAAAAATCTCACCCCTGATTACATTAAAATTATTCATCAAAAGTAATAAAAAAATTACATTTATGATGTACTTTTTATTTTCATAAAAAATAAGTAATGTCCATAAAGCTTGACAAATTGAANATAAAAAAATTACATTTATGATGTACTTTTTATTTTCATAAAAATAAGTAATGTCCATAAAGCTTGACAAATTGAATATAAAATTACTATTCATAAACTCTCAAAATTAACTTTTTCTTACTACTTAATTAATTCTATAGGTTAGCAATCCCATAATTAGAATAAAAAATATTATGCACAAGAGAAATTTCTTCTGACAAAAATCGCTGAAAATCAATTACCCAACATAAGCATTAATGACCATTCCAGCTTAAAGAGAAACACTCTGGGATAATAAGTTTATCCACGAAAAAAAATCTTTAAAGGAACATTATTGCTTAGTATAAATGAGCAGTTTTAGTAAAATTAGTAGCTTATGGCGTAGGTGGTATATGGGTGATTCTTAGGAAACATGACAATTCAGACCAAAAAATTTCTACAAATTTAAAGTCTTCAACACAATCAAAACATGTTTTTTGTATATTTATTTAGTTACATTTATTAATATCTTACAGATAGCAGTGTAGTTTATTGACATTCTCTCAAGAAAAAAATAAAATAGAAATTCACCACATTTTGAATGCCAGGAAAATGACATATTAGCTTAGAAGTTCTAAAAAACAGTCATTTTAAGCTATTAGTAAGTAACATAACCTAAGCCCTTATGTTAGATGGACCATGAATAACTTAAATTAATTCTTTTATCTACTGCAGAGAGAATCAAAAAAAAAATTGTTGCTGATATGTACAGAATAAAATTGTGTAGAATAATCAATCATTAAATAAATAAATAACTTTGATCACATCCAAGCATATTACAATCATATATAAACTTGGTATTAGTTTAATATTTGCTTTCCCTCCTTACAGTATTAGCAGTTTAAAAAAAATTTACGTAGATAGTATACACCAGACGGAGACAAATATATAAAAATTATAAAATGATTTTTTTACTTAACTAATAATTACGAGTATTTTTTCACTTTTGCTAAAATTCCAAATATTGAAACAGATCCGCTTAAATTAGTAAGACATTTTTATAATGTTTTTTTTTAATTAAATAATTATGCATTACTGCTACTGACTGAAAACTTATTAAAAAACTTTACACATATATAAAGCTCTTTATTGTACTGTTTGATGGTTTCATGCTGAGTGAAACAGTAAATAAGAAATTTTAAATTTATTATATAAGTTCTATAATGCTCATTTTGAATAAAAAGGAAGGAAGGCAATTTTAATAACTTGCATTGCTCACTTGCATTTTGATCACTCAAAAAATTAATAATAAACAAAAATATTTTAAGATTTTTTTTTCCTTTTTAAATTAATCCTTGAGACAAATTTTACATTTATTTGCATCTATTTTGAAAAAACAGGTTTTTGAAGTTCCTTCTTAATTCTAAGAAAACAAAAATTATCAGTCAAGTTTTTCTGTTATAAAAAAAATTATTAGTTAAAACTTTTCTACATAAGTAATTTTTAGCAAACAAATAACTGACTAACACAGCAACAAAAATTTGTACCCTACAACTAAGGATTTAAGTAGCCCTGGGCGAAACATTTAATCAAGGTTAAAATTTTGTTTTGTTAAAAAAAAATACAGATTTACCATTGGAATTTTTTATTTCACTCAGATTTTTTTTAAAAACTCCTTTCACGTTTTAAGACCCTATATTCTAGGGATTGAAAATTAGAGTATATCGAAAAAAAAAGGTATGTTTATTAAAAGAAAGTTGATTTGTGAAATTAATTGTAATATAATAACTCGTGATTTAAAATTAAAATAAAAAAAGAAAAAAAATCAAGTAAAAACAATTTTTTTCAAAATTAGAATAAGAAAAGTCCTTTAGAATTAAAAAAAAAACAGACAAATAAATAGCTTACTTCTGACTCTGGCTGGAGGTGTGGATACAGAGCAAGACATTGAGAAGAACTGGAAGAAGGAGGAGGAGAAGATGAAGTGCTGGGATTCAAATACTGGAAACAAATCAGTGCCACTCACCTGCTGAGAAACATAAGATAATGAATGATAGATACATAAAAATACAAATTTAAACATAAATGTAAATATAACCTTCAGAAGGATATTGGGTGGGGGTACCTAGAGGGTAAACGTAGTTTAAAAAAATCGATTCAGCATTTTCATAAATTTAAGTTTCAATCTCATGTTTTTCTAAAGCAAACTATATAAGACTATTAAACAAAAGCTTTCATGAATGTGATAATGCAAATTTTAATTGAATAAATGGTTCTCATAAATTAATTTTCTTTTTATATGTATGATATACATTTTGTAGGATGCATAATAAGAAAAGGAAGTTATTTTGATATTTGATATCACTTTAATTCTTTTTCTTGTACCCAGAAAATTAGGATATCAAAATTGTACTGTGTTAAAAGAAATTAAGCAGAGTTTAAAATTAAGATTCCATTTTGTCTATTTTTCAGGTAATGAGATATTACTTAAGATTTTAGAAGACAAATATTTTAATTCTTTAGTTTTAATTACAATTTCTTAAATATAGATTTAAGCACTAGCAAGTTTATCAATAATTACAATCACAGTGAATAAATAAATATTCGGAATGATTTCAAGGCAGTAGAATAAAAAATAATTCGATATTTATGCTATTTAAACTAAGATTTAAAGTTTCCCTGTAATTTGGTTTTGATAAACATATTTATTTAAATGTATTACATTACTGTACTATTTCATAAAAATGTCATATTGACGTATTGTAATAAAAGTTAGTATGCCTATAAAATAATGNTTTCAACAGGATTCAAAATGACAAGAATTTTTTTTTTAATTCTATTATAACAATCAAAATAAGCAAATTTGAAGGAACTGAAGAAATCTCAGTAGAAGAGTTAAATCATGCTTGTATTGATAGTTTATAATGCTAGCAAAATCATATTTAAATACTAGCATCATCAAATTCATAGATGTCAGAAATTGAAGGTGTAGGTAAAGGGTCATTTTCTCAATTGTTTTATATGCTAAAGTAACCTTTCCTTTTTTTTAATTATTATTATTTCATGTTAAACTGCTCTTCCAAATGATTAAAAACAATNTTTTGTAGGATGCATAACAAGAAAAGGAAGTTATTTTGATAATAGAGGCATTACCTAGTTATAATATACCAAGTTATAATACCATATTAAATTTAACTAATTTTATTTGTAATTGAGGCACTTCAATTCTTTTTCTTGTACCCAGAAAATTAGGATATCAAAATTGTACTGTGTTAAAAGAAATTAAGCAGAGTTTGAAATTAAGATTCCATTTTGTCTATGTTTCAGGTACTGAGATATTACTTAAGATTTTAGAAGACAAATATTTTAATTCTTTAGCTTTAATTACAATTTTTTAAATATAGATTTAAGCACTAGCAAGTTTATCAATAATTACAATCACAGGGAATAAATAAATATTCGGAATGATTTCAAGGCAGTAGAATAAAAAATAATTCAATATTTATGCTATTTAAACTAAGATTTAAAGTTTCCCTGTAATTTGGTTTTGATAAACACATTTATTTAAATGTATTACATTACTATTTCATAAAAATGTCATATTGACGTATTGTAAAAAAAGTTAGTATGCCTATAAAATAATGAAATCTAATTAACAGGATTCAAAATGACAAGATTTTTTTTTTTAAATTCTATTATTACAATCAAAATAAGTAAATTTGAAGGAACTGAAGAAATCTCAGTAGAAGGGTTAAATCATGTTTGTATTGATAGTTTATAATGCTAGCAAAACCATATTTAAATCAAATTCATAGATGTCAGAAATTGAAGGTGTAGGTAAAGGGTCATTTTCTCAATTGTTTTATATGCTAAAGTAACATTCTTTCTTTCTTTTTTTTTAATTATTAATATTTCATCTTAAACTGCTCTTCCAAATGATAAAAAACAATATGTCACATTTTGTATTTAAATTATATTTTCAAGAAAATAAAACGCAAGTGAAATGTCATGACTGTCACAAAAATGAACTTTTAAATACGTTACTATATTAAAAGGATACATAGACACATATAATATGATTTAGTATGACTGTTTACATAACATACATATTCTTTGAATAATTAGTATATTTTGTTTTACACATCATTTTGAATGCAATATTTGTGTACTTCAAATACATAAAGTGGCAAACAAAACTATATTGGTGGCTTTAGATGAATAGAACAAAACTCCTGGTAGGGTGCATAGCCAGATTTTACAACAAAAAAAGCACATTTTAAGTACTTTTCAGGCACTCAAAAAAATTGTTTTAATCACTTTTAAAAAAAAATCATAATTATGATTAGTGCAGTAATAAAAATTACTTTTTTCTATTTTTAAAGTTTATTAATAAAATTTCAAAAAAATTATTATAATTATTTATATATTTGCTTATAATTATATATAAACAAAAAATCAATAAATTTTTTTAAAAAAATTAAAAACTTTACATAATCGTGATAAAATAACTAGTTTCTGATAAATATTGCAAAGAAAATCGTGAAAATCACACATTTTTTTATAATTTAAAATGACAATCAATACGGCAATGAAAAAAAAAAACTTTTTAAAAGAAAGAAAATTAAGCACTTTTTACAAACCCTGAAAAAAAAGCACTTTTAAGGTCATTTAAAAACTGTAAGTAAAAAATAAGCACCTTTAAGCATTTTTTAAAAATGCTGCGCACCCTGTTCTAGGTTAGAAATAACATTTCTCACTAAAGAATATTAAAGGTTAACATTTCCTTTATGGTATATAAGTTATACTTAATGTTAAAAACTCTATGTGTTACTTTATTGAGGGTAATTACTGTCCCTCCAGCCTTCTTTCAATAAATTGCAAGTGAGCAGGAAAAAAATTTTTTGTACAAACTATAATAACTTATTATTATAAACTATATCAAGAGTTTAATTTAAAAAAAAAAAATAGCTTTACAACTAATAGGAAAAACTATTGTTTTTTAATTACAGTACCAACCTAAAATACAATTAAAAGGGAAAGTTATTACTGAATAAGGGACAGTAATTTTTTTATTATTTAAAAAACCTTTAATGCGTTTAACATGTTTTAATTTTATAATGCAATTACATATAAGTTTTACCTGTAAAAACTTTTAAATTAATATTTAAATAAAAAAAACTAATTAATATACATCAGGCTTTGCTAAATTGTTTATCCTATTCATTGAGGTTTTGATTTAATTCTATTTGGCATAAAAAAATTATTAATCCATACTTCATTTGCTAGATAATGCTTAAGTTCCCTCCACATCTTCCAGCTTACATATTATGCAACTTTTTATGACTTACTAAGACAATATTAACTCCGCCATATGGATAGCTTCGGCTATTTCGAGCGCCAGACCCAAGCCTGGATAAAGGAGGAGGGTTGGGCGTAGGGCTAGTCCCTCTACCCCGTAAAACATCCCTGACTACAGAAACCAAAAGCATATCGGGCCAAATTCTCTTAGCGGAAGCAATGACTTGTGAAATTCCAAATGACAGTTATCTAACCTGGAATGAGGAAATCACGCCTATGAAGTGTCGAAGGGAAAGCCATTTGGAGCCTTTGAAGCGGAAGAAGTCATTGATGAAACCTAAAAACAAGTTACGAATTGGTGCTTGAAATGTAAGAACTATGCACCAATGTGGAAAAAGCAGACAGGTGTCAATAGAAATGGATAGATACCATTTGGATATCTTGGAAATATCAGAACTAAGATGGACAGGTTTTGGCAAGCCTAAAACTGGAAATGAACAAATCATTTTGTACTCAGGAGCTGAAGAAAAGCACGAAAGAGGCGTGGCGCTAATCATTAATAAAGAAACAGCGAAGAGTCTCTTGGAATGGGAACCAATCAATGATAGAATTTTAAGAGCACGATTTTATTCAAAATACATTAAACTATCAATTATTCAAGTGTATGCACAAACGAATGATGCTGATGAGGAGGAAAAGGAGACATTTTATGATCAACTACAATGTATTTTAAATCGAGTTCCAAAACATGACATGATAATTCTTATGGGAGACCTCAATGCTGAGGTTGGAAAACGGATAAGTGATGATGAAACCTCCATGGGAAACGAATCACCGGGCGAGAAGAACGAAAATGGAGAACGGTTTGTTTCCCTGTGCGAACTAAATAGTCTGAACATAGGTGGGAGTAGATTCAAGCATAGAGAGATACATAAATGTACATGGACCACACTAGACGGAAGAGCAAAAAATCAAATCGATCATATTGCAATTTTATTTAATCGGTATAGACAGCAATATAGTCAAATTGATAGTGAAGTAAAAAAGTCAGCCAGAAAAGACAAAAGGAAATATTTCACAGACCTTGCTACTGAAGCTCAAGATGCAACGCATAAAGGACAAATAAGTACTTTCTATCAGAAAGTGAAACAAATAAAAGGAAATAAATGAAATTTGCAATGTGCAATATGAGAAAAAAAAACCATAAGTTACTTACTACGGATAAGATGATCGAAGAAAGATGGAGAGAATCTTTTGAAGATACGCCTAACGCACACCATGTTGAAAATTCTGAGCAACTCCCAAATGTTACATTAAATGTAGCATCTACTGTAGATTTTTCTTTGGAAGATATCTCGCTGGATGAGGTACAGAATGCCCCGAGGGCCACAAAACCAAAGAAGGCTGCAGGGAGAGATGGAATCGTGGCAGAGACGCTTAAGGCAGATTTTGCAAAGGCAGACAGTTGCAAAAGCTCTTCAATGAAATCTGGAGAAATGAAATACCAGAACAATGGAAAGAAGCAGTAATAGTGAAAATTCCCAAGAAAGGCGATCTAACAAAATGCGAAAATTGGAGGGGCATTAGCCTACTTTCCATACCGGGAAAAATATTTAGAAGGATAATTTTGAATAGACTAAAACATGAAATTTATGGAATTTTAAGAGAAGAACAAGCAGGTTTCCGCAGTGGAAATGGAACAATGCAGCAAATCTTCACACTTAGAAATATCATTGAGCAAAGCTTAGAATTTAACACCTCTTTATATTTAAACTTTATTGATTTCAGTATAGCCTTTGATTCAGTTAAGAGAGAGAAATTATGGGAAATTTTACCACTTTATAATATACCAGAGAAATATATTAACATAATCAAAGATATGTATGATAACAGCAAAGCATGTATAAGAAGTAAATGGAGAATTAACTGAATTATTTTTGGTAAAAACTGGCGTGAGACAGGAATGTGTTTTATCAGGATTTTTATTTATACTGGTGATAGACTGGATTATGCGAAACAGCTTGAAAGATGAAAAAAGAGGAATAAGGTGGAATTTCACAACTACTTCAGAAGACCTTGATTTTGCTGATGACATTGTACTTATTTCATCCAAATGTACAAACCTCCAGTTTAAAACAGACAGATACAACAAATATTCATAAACAAGAAGAAAACTAAAGTATAAAACAATTGAAGATGAAATTAAAAAACAAAGATGGAGCTGGCTTGGACATATCCTTAGAATGCCCAAAGAAAAAATTACATCTTTTGCGCTTACATGAGCCCTTGATGGTAAAAGAACAAGAGGAAGACCCAGACTTACCATCCAGCGCATGTTTTTGAACAAATTAAAATAATGTAGAATATCTAGCTGGGAGGAAGCAAGATCTATTGCTAGAGACAGGAGGCGTTGGAGGGATATGCTAGAGGCCTTAAGTGCCCAAAGGCACGTAGAGGATAAGTAAGTAAGTAAGATAATATTTCTTTATAATAAATTTTTTTTTCTTTATGTTTGGTTTTTACTATATTTTTTTCAGCAATCTTTACAGTACTATGATCATTTTAAGTACTCAAAGAGTTTCTCTTTTGTATTCTTTCAAATGTACAAATTTTTAAAAATTATTATTATCATCATCATTACTTTTTCCCATATCTCATACCGCTATCAGGATAGGAACACAAATCTGCAGTTGGCATTTTAGATAATATAATCATGTAGTACGTAACTATTTTACAATACATAGACACTCCAACAACTACAGACACCTTTAAATAGCTGCAGCTGTTTGAAAACAAAAGTTAAAAGAGTGCACTGGGACTTGAACCTTTCTGAGCACCATGTATACAGACTGTTATTGCTTTATACAGAAACTCACCTGTTTTTGATAGACTTTAATTAAAAAAATAAACAATGTTACATATATGAAAAAAATAAAATTAACCAATCATTTAAATGATTTTATAATATCTGAATAAAAATCCTTACTGAATAAAAACTATCCACTTAAGTTAGTGCGTAAATACGGATATTTAAGTTTAGAAGTCTAACAAAAAGTTTTTCAAATAAAAATATAGGGTTAGTCAATGTTCAAACAAACTTAAAGAGAAATCCCCAATGATTGCATTCATTTCCTTTAAAGGTCGATCTTTTTCCCTTTCGTGAAATTAATTGTAATATAATAATTTGTGATTTAAAATTAAAAGAAAAAAAGAAAAAAAAATCAAGTAAAAACAATTTTTTTCTAAATTAGAATAAGAAAAGTCCTTTAGAATAAAAAAAATAATAACAGACAAATAAATAACTTACTTCTGACTCTGGCTGGAGGTGTGGATACAGAGGAAGACATTGAGAAGAACTGGAAGAAGAAGGAGGAGGAGAAGATGAAGGGCTGGGATTCAAATACTGGAAACGAATCAGTGCCGCTCACCTGCTGAGAAACATAAGATAATGAATGACAGAAACATATAAATACAAATTTAAACAAAAATATAAATATAACCTTCAGAAGTAAAAAATCTTTTTAATAAAACATATTTCTGGAGAATCCCACTATCTGATGTTTTTGAGTTTAATTACCAGGCAATCAAACATTTATAACCAGGGGTCTGTCCAGACATTTTGTGAAAGGTCCGTTTTTCGTGAAATTGTGAAAAAATTACTCACATTCTTTCAACCAGGGTCAGCTTTTATGAATTTGTGCAAATAGGGTCCGTTATTGCAAAAAAAAATTTTTTTTCAAGAAGTTTTTAAATTGTATAGACATACAAGATTATGCTCAACACTGTAAAATTGTAATTAAAAAAATTAAATTTTAAAAAATAAACAACAATTGCTGCTTCTAAATTAGAGATGCAACATACAAATATTTGGTATTTAGCCTATACTGCTGAACGCAGAATATTAATTTCGGACGAATAACGGAAGAATCGTCTGCCGAAGACAAAACTTAATTCGTTTACATCCATCTTTCTTGTTTTCTGCCCTGGAAAGGGTTTATTCGATTAACAAAATAATAATGAAGATAAACAAATTTGTGAAGGGTCCGTTTTTATAAAAAGATATTTTGTGAAGGGTGCGTTAACGGACCCAAATTATAATAACAGCAATTTTTTCAGTGTCTGGCAAGAAAATTTTTTTTTCATAAAAATTTAATAACAAAATTTTAAAAATTTTCCAGCTTTTTATCAGCCACCAAAGCTATATTCAATGCTCCCCACAACACTCAAACCAAGAAAGAACTGTTCACAGGCCTTGGAGATAAAATTTAACATGAAATTCGTATTTAAATGTAATAGTGTTTTTTCTACCTTAAAAAAAGAAACTTAACTAATATCAGGAAACAAGAATAAAATTCGAATAGTTATCAAGTTGCAAAATTAAAATAAATAAATAAAATGCTACCATTAATGTTCATCGAATTTATCTGACAAAGCAGTTATAAACAATAATTAAATATTAATGTACTAGCAATAAGCTTACGTTCTTTTTTTTTAACAATTAAACCTATAAGCTAATAAATATCACTAATGAGGTCATCTGTAAAATATTTGAAAAATTCACTTATCGAAAACTAAATTTAAAACAATGGGTAATGCTTTACCAATCAGAAAATTCCATTTCGCTTTTTTTACTCATTCTGCTTGAACAGTTCGTCATAGATGGTTTGAATAATGGCAGTGATCTTCTTTGTGCTCCAAATTATTGATATGCCAAATGTCATTGCTTTCGGACGGCTGATTTATGAATCTCTAAAAGACCCATAGACATTCATTTATATAAATATAGAATTTCTTTTTCTAGTGATATTAATTATAAGGATCAGACCATAGCTAATGAAATTCAAAATAACTTTTATGTTTGGATGGAAAAATAAGTACTTACATAATATTAACTCGTTTTCTCATAAAACTAGGGAACTAGTAAAACTAGGGAACAAAGCTAAGGACCTAGGAACATTCTTTCAAAATAGGTGAACATGAAAATATTTAGAGGAAACCATTTAATTCTTACAAAACTCTTATTTTAAGCCAAATGCAGATATTTGATGTTAGCTTTGCCACTATCTTAAATCTACAGAAGAAGTCAGAGTGGTGCAAAACTGAAATTTTGCTATCTAGACAAAGGAGGTAGTGATTCTGATGAATTTGTTCATGTTAAATCGAAAAAAAGAAATCAAATCCTAATCAACGGAACTAAAAGTTTAGAAGTTATTGCTGTTTAATAAAAAAAATAAAAAAACAATGCAAATTTAGACTTATAAATATTTAAGCATCTGACACTGCTGTCTGGGAAAGTGAGGTATTGTCTCATATGTCACATTAACTCTAAATTGAACATGATCAAA